CCTGCATTCTGTCTTCCTCTCGTTTTTTTTTCTTTTTTTGCACGTGAAGGCGAAATCAGAGAAACACGCTCTATAATTCGTAATGTCTGTTTTAACCGTCTATTTCCTTGAACAAGAGAATCAGATTTTGGCGATGTCTCGTAAACAACAACAAGTTGAAACGTTGGTGATGACGCGGCTTCAAAGAAAATATAGTCTCTCATTAATTCGTATTCTAGAAAACAGACCCGGCTGCAAACGGAACGACGCGATGGAAGAATAATTCATCGAAATTCGCGTTTAACTTTGCACTTTGTAACGAACAACAGGTGGATCGCAAACGGAGAACAATGGTCATTATCGCGATAGATAATTAATAAATTATTCATATAAATTGAGTATTTTATATAATCTCTGAGTTAAATCACTATTATCTATTTTCAGTTTTAGTTTGAAGTAGAAACTTGCCGACAGATAAAAGTTTCGATTCAAACATCAATCTGTATCAAACTGATATTTAATCTTCTGCAAAGTTGGACAATCGGAGACAGTCGAGACAGTCAGTTATATTGATGTGTGTATGCGTGTGTGTATGTGAAAGAGAGAGAGAGAGAGAGAAGATAAAATCACTTTGTAACGAACAACAGGTGGATCGCAAACGGAGAACAATGGTCATTATCGCGATAGATAATTAATAAATTATTCATATAAATTGAGTATTTTATGTAATCTCTGAGTTAAATCACTATTATCTATTTCCAGTTTTAGTTTGAAGTAGAAACTTGCCGACAGATAAAAGTTTCGATTCAAACATCAATCTGTATCAAACTGATATTTAATCTTTTGGACAATTGGACAATCGGAGACAGTCGAGACAGTCAGTTATATTGATGTGTGTATGCGTGTGTGTATGTGAAAGAGAGAGAGAGAGAGAGAGAGAGAGAGAGAGAGAGAGAGAGAAGATAAAATAAACTTACCTTTTTCAAATAGCGCACGCACTTCGTCACGTCTTCATCCGATCCCGTCCGGTGTTCTTTGAGAAAATCTTCTAATAAATATGTAACTTTGAGTCGAGTGATGTCGAAAATAATGGTGCACGTGGCGGTCTTGTTGAGACCGCCCGAAATCGCTGACACGTGTATAACCTTGACTTGGCCCCATCATTGCGTTTTATCGCGTTATATCGCATTATTATTCATGTAATAATTTTATTTATTGGCATAAATGCGCATATCCGATACGCATTTATCGTCCGTTTAGTGTCGCTGAAATGTGAACAATCGAGCTACTATCATCCGATATCGTCAATGACCTCATCAATTGCGATTGGCAATGAGATCATTGATCGGATGAGGATATCATATAACGCCGAAGAAAAGTCGCTAAAAGAAATTGTTATCTTTTATAACAGGTTTATTAAAGAGTGACTTTAGATTTGTTATTTCTAATTTTAAAAAATATGCACGATGATGTTATCATGAATTACATGTGTTCATCATGCAATTACATTTAGCGCTGAACACTTTTGACTTTTTTCCTCAAATATACGGATCCCAAACACGCAATTATTCATATATGATATAAGATTTAATATAACACTAAATTTTGTTTGTAACAAAGGAAAATCTTTTTTTTTTCACGCTAAATACATCTTACGAATACAAGTCTCTGAGACCTCTCTCTTTCTTCATTTGGCTTATACGATGTAATAGTGTCTAGACACAGCAATCGCCGACTATGAGAGCGTTTACGGGCACGCAATCGAGTTTACTTACGTAGCCGTCGCAAGTGCGAGAAGTGGGGATGCACAAGGGTCCGGACCCCGACACGTGTACGACCTTGACGCATTGACCTCCGCGAACCGGCGACCACCCGCCCCGTGGAGGGTCAACGGATTCCAGCCAAGCACGGCGATTTATCCTTTCATCCATTTCTCATAGTCCTTCTATCGGGGAAGACGAATCACTTCCGCCGAGGGTCTCTCGTGACCGAGATTATATCTTTGCGGTCCAGGTGCATTAGTGTACTTTTAGAGTTGCCAATGCTACGTGATTATCTATGCCTAAATGATCGAACGCTTAATTTCTGTCGATCCTAGATTTTTAGCAATTTAAACCTAAGTAATCTTACTTAAGAACTATCAAAAACTAATAAAAATTTTACTTATCCGCAATAAAATACAGACACAAATAAATGTTGATCATTTTTTATATGCTGTTATTTTTTGATATTAAAAAGTAATTTATAATATTAATATAATTTTTTTTTTTTTATATGAAAAATGTTCTGTTATTATTGAATTATATTATTACTTTAGAGAAAGATATATTCTAAATATTTTCATCAATTTTATTTCATATTACGATGACCATAGATATTCTTCTCACATTGTAATCACATTTCTTTTTATTTTTTAGTTTTCTATTTATTGTATGAATTTCTATTTATTTTATATATTCTATAATTTTTTATTTTTTATTAATAATTAATTATCTAATTTCTAGTACAGACATGGAGCATGAAATTATATATTGCACATTTTAATTATCATTGCGGTCAATTATTCTCTCAATTATAATTTTTGCCACGAGTAATAAATATATGTAATGTAGAAATAGATTATTTTTGTGCGAGACTCTTCAGGATAGTTCGATAATCATCGCTGCAGCAACAGTTGGCGATCAATCGGTGCTCCCTACAACTATTGGCGTGTAGAAATCGGCAGTCCGCTAATTTACATTGATAAGGTAGATCGTTAGAATCGGTGCAACAGCAAGCGTCATGTAATAGTTTTTCGCCGCAATAAGGATAAATTGAACTGTCGCACAGAGGACATCTGTAACAAAATCATAAAGTAAGTATTATTCGTAATTAAAAGCGTTTAATTATTTTTCTAATTGGTACATATTTATTATTGTATTAAAAAATGTACTGATATTAATTAAATAGTTCAACTTTTTTTAAATTTTTACGTTAGTGATAATATGTAAGAGAGAGAAAGAGAGAGGCTGTATAAAATTTTACATAGAGATTAACAATATCGTTCATACATAATGTAGTAGATAAGTAGATGAATCAGCAAATCGATGTCAGTATTATGAATTTCCAACATACTTCATGCGCGTTATCAATGAATTCATCATTACATTAATCTAAAGTGCTGCATATAATAATATCAAAAAGCGTTCATCCTTCAGTTCGCCGGAATTTACTCAACTGTTTCTTTAAAATGTTTCTGTCACTTAGAAATGATTATTTGAGCTAGAACTTATGGTATATAAATTTTTCTTGAACTAAAATATACTAATCATTTTTAACCAAGTTTTTGTTTGACAACTTGAAAAACATCATCTTTGATCATTAAATAGTATACATTATTTTAAATAATTATTAATGATACACAATAAGAGATTTTGAAATAGAATACGTATTCCATTTTAAACAGAGTGATTTTAGAAGTTCATTATAATGTTAGTTTGCAATTTTTAATGATGCTGAGCAATGTCGACAATCTATGTAATTTCAGAATAGCCTTCGTATTTTGTTATAATATGTAAAGAAAAAAATAAAACAAGATTAATTATTTGATAACGTTAAATATCTTACATTTAATAATATCTATGTATCAAGTATCGTTTATAAATCGCAATACAAAAGTATTGCTATAACAAATATATATAAAAATTTATAATAAACTTGCTTTTGCGGTCTGTATCCAGGTCTCAATGGAGGAATAGGATAATTTCCTTGAAATTGTCGTATTTCATCTTTTGGCAAAGGAGTTAATGGCTCGTTCATTATATTTGTTGCATCTAATGTATGATCGCCCATCAATTTTCTGTGTTCATCTGAAAGAGATATTCGCATAGAGATTTTTTGTCGAAGTAATGATATTTAAGACGATAATTTTTGCTAAATAATAAAATAAATTGTTTTTTTTTATTGATATAATGTGATTAAAACTAACGAAACAATTTTCCTTATATTATTATATTATTTTATTATTATATAATCCTATTGACATATTTTAATGTCTTTACAATCTGAAATAATTTCTATTAGTATTACAAATGGAAAGTGTTAAATATTTATTTTACATTTTTGCACGTGCGAATAGTACAATATTATGTCCATTATATCTATGAATATTGTTATAATACAACTGTTTTTGTTTGCAATTGAAATTATAAAAATTATGAAAATTGAGATGTAAAGTTAATTCAGCTATTATATACTTAAATGCTATTATATACTTAAATTTAATTAACAGATTTTCTGTGATATGCAAAGTGTTATAATATACAAGAGAAAATATTTATTTATCTTTATATATAGTAATATAATTATCGAATAAATAATTGACTCACCTGATACAGCGAATACGCAGCAATGTAAAAGAACGCTAGTACCGAGCCAAATTATCAGGAGCGACATATTTCTATCAGAAACGGATGAGATCGTAGCTTCCGTGCGCATTTGCTTTCGACACGGCTGAGATTTTTTAGAGAAATGAGATCGTTTGCGGCTCTTGCTCCTTCGATTTCTTTCATAAACCCACGCAACTTTTAGCCACGGTTCTCGCCTTCCTCATAGAACGCGGTCGACGTACCCGTTATTCCTAACTGGCTGATGATCATCTTTCTCTTCTTATTTATTGGCAAATATACAGAAAAGAAAGAGAAAAAGACAAAAATGCGGATGCTGACCTGAAATTTACAAAACACGTTTTTCACGAGTAATTTAATTATTGCTGTCATGTGTGTAATAAAAATATTTCAGGAATAAGAAAAAGAGCAGTAATTACTTTTCATGAAATATTTTGCTTTATGAAAACTGTTGCTAATTAAGTACAAATCTAAATTTTTTTCTAATTAATTATATTTTTGAACGTAATATATAAAAAGTAATTTAATTAATAAAAATAATTAAATTTTTTTAAATAACAAAATTATATATATGTGTATACACACATATACACATTAATTTTAAGCTAACTTAAACCGCGTGCATTAATTTGAGAAATATAGGTCAGAACGAAACAAATAATTTAAAGAGAAAGTCGGCAAAATTATTTTGCATATATATATTTCAATCATTTTTACAGCTTTATAACTAGTAAAAAAAATGCTTTTTAATATTATCATTATTAAAATTTTTAATAAACACGAATAACAGATAAATTATTTTTTCTGTTGCAAGAAAAAGATTGAATATGTTAATAAAATAAGAAAGGTTTTATTTATTCGATTCTAAAAATTCATATATATCAAAAATTGATAATATACGTCATATTTAATAATCTCATTAAAATCTAATTAAAACGAAGAAAAATAAAAAAAATTGAAATTGATATAATGTCGAAACAAATATACCTTCAAAACATCTATATACAATTATAGTAAAGATTATTTTATTCATTTACGTGAATTATTATAACTTATTGAATATTTTGAAACTTATGCATTAAAGTTTAATTTAATTAATTAATTAATTAATATTGTTCTCTCGTCGTAATATGTTAAAAAGAAAAATATAATATTTTGCGCTTATATATAAATAATATATATTAATTCTCAATTTTCAAGACATGCATTTATGTCAATATAATTAATATAATAATATTCATTTATTTTATTTTAGATACTGTGTACGACACTTTTTTTATTAAATGTTTTTCACATATAAAAATTATCTAAAGTTTTTGTTATTATTTATGAATAATATATAAAGTATATTAAATGTTATATATATGTTTAATTATATATATATCATATGTGTGTGTTAATTTAATATATCAACTTTTTAAATTTAATATATTATTTATATATATGTGTGTGAAAAAAACAGATAAAAATAGAAGAATGTATTGCCACATATATCGATATAGATATGTAATAAATTTCCTTGCAGATGCGATAAATTAATAATATTAATAACAACTGTCTTTTATATCGATTGATGGAAACTTTTATACGCAACATATAATTTAGTGTTTGCGCGTGCGCACGATTTGTCCATTGCAGTGGAATGAATGAAAGTCAGCTGTGAAGCACGAGAGCACGTGGAAGCATAAAATACTTTCTCTATCTCTTATATATTTGTAAGTATATTTAGTATTGATGTATTAATAAATTCGCGAAATAAAGATTATAAGTAAAAAATTTCTCTCTATTATATTGACGATGATATATATGTAATTATTAGTTAGTAATTAAAAATAAAAAGATAAAAAATGGAAAGATTGTACATATCCTAACCTCGTTATCCATATATATATGTATTTTATATTTTTACGATCCACATAAATAATTCCTCTATATAATTTCTAGGTGATTTAAATTAATCATAAAAGTCCATTATAAAAATGAAGGTGAAGAAAATAAATCAAAAGTCTCTTAAGTCGTCTACAAGAAAAAAATTAACAGTTGCCAAAAAAAACAAAAAAGATCTGAGCAAAGTAACTACAGAAGAGTTTCTTGAACAAAATTTTGAAGATGATACAGACAGTGACAGCGATAATGATGAGACAAATAAAAATATAGGTATGATTTATAAAATATTTAGATTTCTTTCTTTTAAATTGCGTATCTTTATTATCCTTTTATTCAGGTGATGTGAGAGAGAGAGAAAACTATGAGCAGGCTGAGAGTGATAGTGGTGAAAGTAACTTGGATCCTATAGAACACAAAAAATCATTGATGAAACTGAAAGATACTGACCCAGAATTTTATAAATATTTGAAAGATAATGACAAAAATCTTTTGGACTTTAAAATATCAGACGATGAAGATGATGATAATTCTTCAATAAGTGACAATGATAATAGACACATCCCTGATGAAAACTTGGAGGTGCATATGTTTTTTCTAGATATTATTTTTAATATCTTTATACTTAGTTATTAACAATATTGTTGAATTTTTAGATTGCTAGCGACGATAGTGATTTCCAGCCAGAGGAAGCTGAAGGTGACTCTAAGAAGATCACTATACAATTACTAAAAACTTGGCAACAGGAAATACAAACGGACAAGTAAATTCTTATTAATTTTTTTTGTTGAGACAGTATTAAAGAGTGTAATCGCATTATTTTTTATTTATAGATCAATAGTTAGTATTAAACGTGCAGTAGACGCTTTCCATGCAGCTTTGAATAGTGTTGCAGTATCATCTGATACAAACACACGATATAAAGTAGAAGGAAGCGCGAGTGAGTTTTAACTTTCATATTGTACAACTTATTATTTTGTAAATAATTCTGATTTTAATTTTGTCAAAAATTATGTTTAGTATTTAATGGTGTGATGCAACTGTGTATAATGCATTTACCTGATGCATTTAAGTGCTTTTTAAAGTTGGATTCAAAAACGCAGGAAGCACATAAATCTAAAAGATTTAGAAAAATACGAGGAATCTTAAAATTGTACTTGTCAGATTTAATTACAGTATGTATTAATTTTTTATTTGTCATACATAAAATAACTTTAATAAATACGTTATATACATATGTATATATTAAGAAGCTATATATACTTTTTATAGTTATTGCGAAGTGTAGCATCATCCAGTATTCTCCAAGTGCTTCTAAAGCACCTTCGCCAAATGTTACCTTATACGCAATCATTTTCATCCTTGACTAAACCATTGTTAAGGATTTTGTTGAAGTTCTGGTCAACTGGAGAAGAAACTGTTCGTGTTGTAGCTTTTGTAAATATTTTGCGTATCGCGATCAATCACAAAGAATCCACACTTGAGAAACTGTTAAAGGTGAGATCAACATGTTATAAAAAGATTATAGAAAAATATGCTTTATAAAAAAATATGTATATACAATTGATTTTATCATTGATGTTTTTCTTTTTCAGACCATGTATATAAAATATGTTCAGAATACAAAATTTGTGTCACCCAACACATTACCAGAAATAAATTTTATGCGGCATTCTTTGGTTGAGATCTATCTACTTGATCATAATCTTTCATATAGCCATGCCTTTTTGTACATTAGACAATTAGCGATTCATTTAAGGAATGCCATAACATTAAAGAAAAAGGTAATCATTAAAAGCGATAATTGTATATTTTATAAATTTTATTATGGGCACTTAAGATTTTATTTTTTTTCTAGGAAAATTTCCAAGCGGTATATAACTGGCAGTATATTAATTCCTTGCACTTTTGGACAGAATTAATAACAAAATTGAAAGACAACTCAATATTACGATCTTTATTGTATCCATTAGTGCAGGTATTTAAATAAATAATAAAATGAATAATATTATATTAAAAATAGCATAACAGTTTATCAGAAAAAAAATTACATTGATTTATTTATTAACAGATTATTATTGGAACAATAAAAGTCTGTCCAACTGTGCAGTACTATCCATTGCGATTCCATTGTATAAAAATGTTAATAACAATTTCCAAGGAAACAGGAACTTTTATACCCATCTTGCCGTTCCTTCTTGAGGTATCCATCATTATGAATTTTTAAATAATAGTTATGATTATAAAAATGTGTAAAAATTTTAAATATATTTAATTTTTTTAAATTTTAGATCCTAGATTCTTATGATTTTAATAAAAAGCACAAGGCAGTTTCTATGAAACCTATATCACTTATCTGCATATTAAGGGTGTCGAAATCACAACTGATAGAGAATGGTTACAAGGATAGTATTGTAGAAACCATTTATCAACTTATACTGCAATATGCTGCAAGTGAAAGCTATAAATTATATTTCCCTGATATGTGTATACCCTGCATAATACAAGTATGTAAAAAAGACAAAAAAAATTGGAAGAATATAATTTTTGTTACAAATATTCGAGAGATTATCAAATTGATGTATTCTTTCTTTCCTGAAGAAATGCCATGTGGCAGCTTATTGCAAGAAAATGAAACAGCTTTTAACTTTGATCGAGGAAAATAGAAAGTACATTGAAAATGAGCGCACTAAACTAACGATTGATTTAAAAAATACGGTAGAAATAACTAATTGGGAAAATAGGTTGAAGACTGATGGCACAGCGATAGCTAAATTCTATGCCTCCTGGATTAAGCTTCACGAATCACAACAACTTAAACTTCTGAACAAGACCGAAGGAGAGTTTAATGTACCTGTGGTGAGAAAATTGAAGAAACGGACACTTGATGAGCAGAATGCAGAAGAAGAAGAGAGCGAAGAAGAGAGCGAACTCGAATTTCGAGTGAAAGGAACGGGAACTGAAACGGAAACGAAAATGTTATCTAACAATAAGAAGACGAAAAAACTCAAAAAGAAGAGGAAAGTAGTCAGCAATATCGAGGACGATGATTTGCCGAAGGAAAACACAGACATTGTTCAAGATATAAATGATTGGGATTAGAAGTAGGTGTAAGATCACTTCGAGTTAACAATTATATGTATGAACAAATAATACATAATACGTTTCGTTTATATTCTTAAATTCATTGTAATAAATTTTTTTCTACTTCTCGCTATTATATCTTACATTTAATAATAATTATAATAATTATGGAATAGTCTATGCATGTTCGTCTGGTTTTTTTCGAATCGTAACAGACAACCGTTGTTGGCTCGATCCAAGTCTTGAGGTGTCGCTTTCTGATAGTCTATTTTTACCGAAAGGCGTCCCAAGCCAGTCGACAAGAAGGCGCTGTATAGCGACGGTTTGGGCGCTATTATAAAGCACCGTGTGTGCCGGTCGTGTATTTGTAAATCATCGCATGTAAGTGCGGACCCGGCCGACGGGCTCGACCATCTCGGACGGATCTTCGCGGCGAAGAGAAGTCGCGAGGCATATACTCTCGATAGTAGCATCAGTGTAGAGCTATAAAGAAGCACGTAGAGAAAGGCACGAGCCTTCGCCACCACGGAAGTGACACTTCTCTCGCTCGATCCGTTCCGGAAGATATCTATTCACGTATGTAGGCGAAACGAGCGATAAATGAATCAATACCGCATGTATCGGACAATGGTATTTTCTTTGGCAGAAGTCTCTGTTGAAGGCGCAAGATATATCCGTGGAAAATCCGCAACAATCCGCGCTGCAGTTTGCTCGATATAAAAATAAATTTTGTTTCTCTCTCTCTATCTCTCTCTTTCTTGCTTTTCTTCTCTGTTCTATCAATGAATCGGTCCGTTGGCTCTTAAGAGTCGCGGTGGCGGTGGTGATGACGATTCCTGGTCCACTGCCTCGCGTTTAAACGGTCAGTGTGTGCCAGGGAGTATTTTGCAAGATGCGAAATTCGTTTCTCGTAGCGAGGGAGCCCTCGTCGTGGGTTTAAACGGACCACCTTCGGTGAAGTGTGTAGGCCGAGGTGTCACGCATTACGTAAAACTACAGGAAAAATAAATCGCGAGGAAAGAGGGAAAACAAAGTGTGGGCGAAGAAGGGACACGATTGACCCTCTCTCTCTGTGTATGTGTGCACGTCGCGATGAGGAGATCATCGTTTGATAAGTAAAATCTCTGTTTGCAATGTCTTTATCTATCTGAGAAAAAATGGGACCGCGAGAAAGAGAGAGAAAGTACAAACTTTTATCGAGTCATGTATGATTTTTTCCTCTTTTTTTTATATTTAATCTTCTTATCGTTTTGTGTGCGAGAGAGTATTTTTTTTTCGAGAGCACGTGGAATAAGAAATGTCAATCGTATTTACTAACGTGGCTATTATTTCATGATTAATAAAGATATATTGGATGTAACATCATGTAATCACGATAATACTATTGAAGAAGAGAGTTTAATCATGATGTGTTGCGGAAAATATAAGAAAGAAAAAGAGCATCTTCGCGTATTTCTAAATAAATGCGGAGAAAATATTCACAAAAAAAAAAAAAAAAAAAAAATTATGAAGAGTAATGGTTATTTTCTTTTTTTTGTCACTAAAACTATAAGAGTATATTAATGATTGAAATTGACAGTCCTATTTTTTCTCTGGGGGTCTGTTAAAACTTTCTCGAAATCTCGATCTGCCAAAGAACCTATAGTGCCGCGAACAGCTTGACCGAGTTTGAAACTCTCAAACTTCCACCAAACAATCTATTTAAAGCAAAGTATCGATACCATTGCGTAGCTAGAATTGAACCGCGTCATATTACTTTTCCTAATACGAATTAACACAATTGAAAGAAAGAGAGAGAAAACATAATATACGTTTATATATTAGTGTGAATTTGCATTGATTAAATTTATATTATAAATTAATGTTAATACTTATATATATTGTCCGCGTTTAACTTACATATAAAATTAATATAACAATTTGTCAAACTGAACAAAGAATTTTATCGTATGTTTAGTAAATGTAATTATTACATAGACGCTTAATCTATGTAATAATTTGCACTCCCTCGGATCGAGGGACAAGATCAGCTTTTCGTCTATAGCGTTACATTATTAATATATCGCCGATGTTTTTCTACGCGACACATCGAGTAAATACGGTTGCTGATCGCGAGGATAACCGCTCGAACTGTTACTGCGTATTACGTTACAACAGATAAATTTAGCGTTTCTTTTACACAGAGCTCGTTGTACCACTGCCAATACCGCGACGCGGAATTAATTGGCCGCTTGGAAGGCAACCAATTCTCGTCGTCGAAAAAGCTCTGCCAGGCTCCACGGCACATCGACCGGGGCAGAATTTCGCGTTTTTCTCTTGCACATTTTGTACGATCGGCCAGTTATCCGGATAAAACTTGAAAACCCAAGGTCGGGTTGTACTTCAACCACGTTTTCGTACGCTAAATATGTTTTATGCTGCTGGATTTAAATTACCGTCACGCGTGACTAGACATTAAAATAATGTAGAATAGATTTTCGAAGGATTTAGTACTGGATATGCATCATTGATACAGCTGCTTTAAATTCCATTTAGAAAATTCTAGCGTTTACCATTTTACTAGCAATACACGATATTCTCTTTTATTTAAATTAATTAGTAATATTAAGCTATAAATTTCTTGATTAATACTAATTTATTGTACTTTCCATCAAAATACGAAAATACAATATCGTTTTAATAAATTAAAATTTTTTTTTTAAGAAACCTGTGTTTTTATAAACATTTGCTGTATGTGTCGCGATTCTTTAGACCGGTTGTCAGCGATACTGGCCATAATTGTTGAAATAACATTTATATTATTGTCCATCACGATGGAATAATTTATCTAGAGAATTTGTCCATAAATTTTTCAATAATTCAGACAAACGTTTATTTACGTATTAAATGAGAAATCTTTAATATAAATCATTCTGAATTCTTCCTTTCAACTCTATTTAAATATAAAGATTCAAAAAATATCCAGCAAACGTTTTTTAAATTAACTGCCTACAATTGATGCAATCGAAGTAGTGGTTTTAATTATTCAGAAAATAGGAGTTATATGTTTATAATATTTTTATCTAAAATAATATTTTTAAAAAATATTGCTATTTTTTATAGCAACTACGAAACGCTCTATGTCTGTATCCGTTTTAATTCTCTACGTTTGTACGATAATCGCGAAATCCCGTAGAGTTTGCGTAAATGGAGGATCCGTATCGCGTTGCGAACGTTTCGAATGTCCGCAGGCACGCTAACGCCAAGCGCAACATTCTGAATAATACGTCGTACGGGCTCATCTGCACCAAGGATGCCGATTACAAGTGCAGCGTGAAGTACAGCGGTGCTTCTCTGCCGGAGAAAAATTATCTGCAACGTAGTGTATCCGCAGACAATGTTGTAATTCGTTCGCGCGGTTACAAACCGTCCGACAGACACGATCCGGTCAAAAGGAACTTCCTTGAGAATCTCACTTCGAAAATATTGCACTTCGACATGGTGAGTTAACCGGCGAAATATTCGGGTTTTACAACTTTCTAAAAAAAAAAGCATATTAAATTCTCATGTGTTGAAGTTTAATTTTACATCACTTTTTATGTATGAATTATTATTTATAATAATAGACTAGCTTTTTCATTTATGTGGATTGATCAACTATATATCAATATTATATTATATATATATGTCAATATTATATTGATTAGATATTTATATTTCTGTAACTTTTTTTAACATTGGATATTCGGGTAAATTTTAAACTTAGATTTTTGTTAAGTTAAATTTTATATAAAATTTTGATTTTTAAAGAGAATAATTAAAAATTTTTATTATAAAAATGTTTCTTATTGCTAATCAAACTAATTAAAGATATTGTCTCAAATCCTCAGCAATTTTATTAAAAGATAATTAAATAAAGATTGTGCAAGAAAATTCAAAGATAGCGGAAGAAGAATAATATAATTCTAAGATATTTTACATAATGTTATATTGGTTCTGTTTGATCAATATAAATTTGAACAATGGTTATTTCTTAACTGCAGGAAGGGGGCGAGACTACTCCGATTAACTTACAAAAGCTACTTACACCGGCATCGGACACTCATGAAATATTGCAATCAAAAAATAGTAGGTTTTTTTTTTTAATTAATATAATTAATAATAAAAATAATGTATATGATACAGAATATATTTTAAGAGGAATCTTTTCTGTGGATGACAAAAGTGTCAGTCGATTCATATGCTAGAATATAATTTATAAAATATTATTTCCTCTTCCAGAGGAAAAGAATACGTTTGTTGAAATTTTAAGAACAAAGAAAAATTAATTTTCAGAGAAAATGTTTGCGTCGTCGTACTTTTACGCACCGACGCATCCTACGGTCGAGGATCAGGTTGAACTCGCACGTCGAATCTCGCATTCGCTCAGCGACGTGAAAAACGTCAAGAGTAAAGGACAGTCGATGTATGTGAATAGAAAAAAGCGATCTGTTAAGTGGATTCACGACGGAAACGGTATGCAACGTAAAATATTTCTTTTATAATTTATTTCTACCATTAAAAAAATACTTATCACATTCTCATCATACGTTTATGAAAAGTGCGATGTTCATGTTATGCGAAATTATCGCACTGCACTAATAATAATTCGTAAGAAAAAGTTGTTTTATAATGATTAAGTCAATTAATTTTATGAATTCTAACGTTAATGAATAATTAAATAGTATATCTACTTTTGATATATGTATTAATTCATTTTGTATAATGTAATACATCGATAATAGATAGCATTTTGCAGGTCTCGAGGATGAAGAGGAATCGATTGCAACTGTTCATAAGGTAAAAAGTGTACAATAATGTATATCGTATATCTTATATGTTTAAATATTTTGCGATGAGATTATGCCTCCACATACGACGGAATAAAAATTCTCTTAATAGGACAAACTACCCCTCAAATGTGTGATGAATCCATGCGGAAAAGTACTGGACATTCAGGGTATTCAGGCATTAGGCGAAGAAGTCAATATCGCGTCAGTACCAAAAAATCCTGAAAAGCTCTTCGACATTGTTCGCGACTTGAATAATCAAAGAGGACGCGGTAAGTAAGCATAGTTTAAATGATACATAAGCTACGGGATAAAATTAATAACAATACGTAATACAAAATATTACACATTATATACATATATATGTATTTAATCTTTTTATTTAAATTTTTATTTAATTTAAATATCTATAATATAACAATGCGAAACCTTTTATTGGAAGAGACATAATATTTCCAGCTTTAACTGATATGACGCATTTACTTCTATGTATATAACGTTGCCAAAACAATTCGCAGGTGCCGAGATATTTGCGAAACGTAGGAAAAGATCGGAAAAGTGGGTGGTGGACCAAGAACAGCCGCAGACACCCAATACTCCTGTTACACCGAAAACGCCAACGTATCCGGAAAAATTGGTAAGTATATTTGTCAATCAAACTTATATATAATAGTTTTCTTACTAAAAGAAGAGCTCAAAATAAATAAATAAATAAAATTAATTATTCTTATTAATTGCTAAAGGATTAAAAATAATTTTACTATGATTAGGAAGAGAGTTAATGTTTTTTTCTTATAAAAAAAGATTTAAAAAATTGCATCGTAATTTCAGACAATTAATGGTATTTGATGTTATAATAAAAATACTTGTGTTGTGTGATTTCAGGAAGTTAACGGTAACGCGAAATTCGTGACGCCGTCATTGTTGACACCTCACACGCCAATTTCGAGCACTGATAAAACATTTTATAATCCCTTTACAGTGGACATTGCCGTCGAGAACGCAAATATGCCAATAACAGGTGCGTACCATATAAATGTAATGAGATCAACAGAATAATGATACCGAAAATGCAAGATGATTTTTCAGAATGCTTGGCAGATTTAACTTCATGACGTTTTGATATTAATCTGCATAACGTCAGCAGTTATTTTTTCGAGTTATTTTATATATCTTTGGCTGAGAATACGATGGAGATTTCTGAGGCTGTATAATTATGTATTTAGAAATTTTTAATTACTCTGATATTTTTCACAAGACTCTCGATATCTTTTTTATTATATGCTATCTACTTTACATCTTATCTTGGATTTTTTTATTGTTTTTCAAAAAGAAATATAATATAAAATAAAAATATATTTAATATAGAATATAATTAATATTCAC